TAACTATATTTTATGACCAATGCGATGATTCAAAATCTAAAGTAATGGCTAAGGATAAGTTTTAGAAAGGTAGGGCAAACTCAAAGTTGATAATTTCTTTTAAAAAATGATTAATGTAACAAGGATTACGTGTGATTATATGTGAAGTATGAATACCCTAGCCCTTACCGTTCGAAAGTTATGGCCAAGGTAAAAGTAAAAACAAGAGGCCCATGGGCCACATCGCTCACCTGAGCACCAAGGGTAGGAAAATGTCGAAAATGGTTTTTTATTGTAAAGTTTTAATCCAAAAGTAGTCCCATGACCAATCATGGATTTGCTATTTTTAGAAAATGATTTTTTAAGAATTTTCCTATATATACCTTTAAAAACTTTGGTATGCCATTTTGGCCCCACCCTACCCCCAGGGGTCATGATTTGCACAAACTTGAATCTACACTACCTGAGCATGCTTCCATATAAATATGATGAATTATGGCTTTGTCATTCTTGAGAAAAGATTTTAAAAGAATTTCCCTATATATTTCTATGTAAAACTTTGGTCGGCCATTTTGGCCCCACCCTACTCCCGGGGGTCATGATTTGAACAAACTTGAATCTACACTACCTGAGCATGCTTCCATACAAATATGATGAATTATGGCTTTGTCATTCTTGAGAAAAGATTTTAAAAGAATTTCCCTATATATTTCTATGTAAAACTTTGGTCGGCCATTTTGGCCCCACCCTACCCCCGGGGGTCATGATTTGAACAAACTTGAATCTACACTACCTGAGCATGCTTCCATATAATATGATGAATTATGGCTTTGTCATTTTTGAGAAGAAGATTATTTAAAGAATTTTCCTATATATTTCTATGTAAAACTTTGGTCGGCCATTTTGGCCCTGCCCTACCCCCGGGGGTCATGATTTGAACAAACTTGAATCTACACTACCTGAGCATGCTTCCATATAAATATGATGAATTATGGCTTTGTCATTCTTGAGAAGAAGATTTTTAAAGAATTTTCCTATATATTTCTATGTAAAACTTTGGTCGGCCATTTTGGCCCTGCCCTACCCCCGGGGGTCATGATTTGAACAAACTTGAATCTACACTACCTGAGCATGCTTCCATATAAATATGATCAATTATGGCTTTGTCATTCTTGAGAAGAAGATTTTTTTAAGAATTTTCCTATATATTTCTATGTAAAACTTTGGTCGGCCATTTTGGCCCCGCCCTACCCCCGGTGGTCATGATTTGAACAAACTTGAATCTACACTACCTGAGCATGCTTCCATATTAATATGATGAATTATGGCTTTGTCATTCTTGAGAAAAGATTTTAAAAGAATTTCCCTATATATTTCTATGTAAAACTTTGGTCGGCCATTTTGGCCCCACCCTACTCCCGGGGGTCATGATTTGAACAAACTTGAATCTACACTACCTGAGCATGCTTCCATACAAATATGATGAATTATGGCTTTGTTATTCTTGAGAAGAAGATTTTTTAAAGAATTTTCCTATATAATTCTATGTAAAACTTGGTCGGCCATTTTGGCCCCACCCTACCCCCGGGGGTCATGATTTGAACAAACTTGAATCTACACTACCTGAGCATGCTTCCATATAAATATGATTAATTATGGCTTTGTCATTCTTGAGAAGAAGATTTTTAAAGAATTTTCCTATATATTTCTATGTAAAACTTTGGTCGGCCATTTTGGCCCCGCCCTACCCCCGGTGGTCATGATTTGAACAAACTTGAATCTACACTACCTGAGCATGCTTCCATATAAATATGATGAATTATGGCTTTGTCATTCTTGAGAAGGAGATTTTTTTAGAATTTTCCTATATAATTCTATGTAAAGAATTTTCCTATATAATTCTATGTAAAACTTTGGTCGGCCATTTTGGCCCTGCCCTACCCCCGGGGGTCATGATTTGAACAAACTTGAATCTACACTACCTGAGCATGCTTCCATATAAATATGATGAATTATGGCTTTGTCATTCTTGAGAAGAAGATTTTTAAAGAATTTTCCTATATATTTCTATGTAAAACTTTGGTCGGTCATTTTGGCCCCGCCCTACCCCTGGGGGTCATGATTTGAACAAACTTGAATCTACACTACCTGAGCATGCTTCCATATTAATATGATGAATTATGGCTTTGTCATTCTTGAGAAGAAGATTTTTAAAGAATTTTCCTATGTATTTCTATGTAAATCTTTGGTCGGCCATTTTGGCCCCGCCCTATCCCCGGGGGTCATGATTTGAACAAACTTGAATCTACACTACCTGAGCATGCTTCCCCATATGTTTCATCTTTCCTGGCACAGTGGTTCTTGAGAAGAAGATTTTTTAAATATGCCACCAAATTTTCACAAATTCCCAATTATCTCCCCTTGAATGAGGGCGTGGCCCTTCATTTGAACAAATCTGAATCCCCTTCACCCAAGGATACTTTGTGGCAAGTTTGGTTGAAATTGGCCAAGCGGTTCTAGAGAAGAAGTCGAAAATGTGAAAAGTTTACAGACAGACAGACGGACGCCGGACAAAATGTGATCAGAAAAGCTCACTTGAGCTTTCAGCTCAGGTGAGCTAAAAATCATTAGTACGGATACTCCATGGTCAAGTCAAAAGGTCAAAGTTTTTAGCATCCAATGTAAGGTAATGTCATATGAGAGTACTAGTATCTACCGCTTAAAAGTTATGGCCAAAATAAATGGCATTTTTGTGTAAAATGGGACAAACTCCTAGGTAAAGGTCAAAAGAATAATTTCTTTTTTATTGATAAGTCCACATTTAAAAAAATAGTCAAATGAGCTTTATTATTTTTATTCAATTATGCACCCTACATTTGTAAATATTTTTTGGAAGTCTTTGTCACAATGTTTTCAATCTTCAATATGATGAAGAACATAGCCCAATGATTATAAAAAAATATTAAGATATATACCTTTCCCCTCTAACTAATTAAAGATAGGCTATTTACCGATACTCATATTCTTGACCTTTTTGCACTTACAAGGACTTATTAATTAAATGACTGTTCGGGGTTACTTTCAGATTAATTATTTATCAGGAATTGTACTTTTACTTTAAAAAAAGATCATATTTAATAGAAAAATTATAATCAAACACCAAGAATATGAATAGGTAACAAATAATTGTTAAAAGGAATGCACATCATTTCATTTAAGGAATGAAGCTTATTTCAACTTATGTTATCCGATATAACATAACTTGGGGCAGTTTACGCTTTATCACACCTCCTAACCTCATTAGCATAAATCGGAAGAATTCGGAGATTAACGTAATAAAATATGAACAAAATCCGTAAACGTCCGAACAGCTTTCCTCGCGAGAATTCAGCGAGACCAACATGCTACAGGTGAAAATCAAGAGAGAAAATCAACATGAAAAAAGAGGTAAAACTTTATGTTATTTCGATTTATAAAATTTGTAAATTGCAAAAAGTTGAAAAACAAACGTTTCTTTACCTGAAAAGTGAAAGTAGGTTTGCAGTTTCTTATTCTGTCAAGTGTTATTGTACTTTAAAGTGTCAAAACAGCACCTCTCGATTTTGTAAACATGTTTCCACGTGGAAGGGAGTAGTTGTGATGGTCAAGATTAACCCACATACATTGATTTAGTGAAAAAAAGACTCGTAAGTAGAATTTCATTTATTTTTTCGACTACCTCTAGCACAAAATGGCTTAATATTTTAGGGCATGTTTGTCAAATTCTGTTAATAGCATGTCTAAAATTGAAGAGAAAATGCAGGTGTACTATAGTTCGTTCCTACTTGTAAGGTAGTCTACTCTGCATGCATATGCAGAGTTACGCATATAAAAGTCATTATTCTTACTTATCAATACCCAGTGATTTGTGAGAACTGTATGTGTTTTTTCAAATACCAAGAGACTAAAATTTAATTCTGTATGCAGAAGAAGTCCTTCCGAATTTCCTCTACACATATACATGTGTACCTGGATAAAGAATTAAAGGTTTGTTTACATTAGTGTCAGCTATTTATATCAATCATGCAGTTTTCACTAGAGTCTTCTGATCAAAATATGGTTGTTACTTTTCTAATTTAATATCATAGAATTTATTATCAGATGATGTCAATGCAGTTCTCACATATTTGTGTATATATCAGGTATGAAACTTCACATATGCAGTTGTCGCCCGTGTGGTGCAGTGATTAGAGCGTCTGCTCTAGAGTAGAGAAGTAAGGAGTCAATATCCTTATGTCGCTAATTCAATTCTACTGTGGGACGTGGAGACCGGTCTTTGAATGAGACCGTATAAACCGAGGCCCCGTGTCGCTGTAGGTGCTGGCACAAAAAAAGATTCCTCCCACCTCAAAGACCCTCACCCAAAATTTGTAGCCCTCCACCAGCAAGTGGTGGCGTCTCCACGTGAGTGAAAAATTCTTGAGAGTATTGCCCATGTAAAGATAGCTACTGAAAAATAGTATAAATATTATAAAACTAGAGGTACTGTGTCAGCAATGAGCTCTGACACTAAATGATACCCACTGCTAATTCTCATATGAATATAATGACTGTGTCCATGTTTTGCTATGGGAAACCCCAAATATGTGGCGGATCAAAAAGTAAAATAGAAGATGCACAATTGCAATATGTAATATAGATTCTGTGAAAGTCATCATATATCACTCAGTGGTATTAGAGGAATTAGCGGATAAGAGATGGGTACACCAAAGCATAACAGACGGATAGACATACCAATTACTTAATATACCCTCCCGCTTTTCAAGCGGGGGTATAATAAATTACATGCATGCGTGCATCAATCTGTGTTATGAAAAGATTTTGCTAAAGATAATTTACATTGATGTTTTGCATTTTTGTTTGTAAGAATACATGTATTTAATTTACATATTGTTTAATTATTTCAATGTGTTAAATGAAAAGTAATTTTCTTTTTTGTTTGTCTATTGCAGGTACAGCTGTAGAGTACATTTTGAACAGCTATCTCCAGGTATGACAAAAATAACACAATTGACCCTATAAGGTTAAATAAACAATCATTACTGAATTTAAAAAATGTATATAATGAAGCACAAATGTGAAATCATGGTAGGCCCAGGCTAGAAATAGTTTTCTTTCACTGCTCACTCAGGCTTTTTACTGGTCAGATCATCATAACATCACTATCCCACTCCCAGGCTACTAGATTAAATGCACAAAAATTATAATTTCATTAAAATAAAACAAAAAAAGCAAATATAAACTTTATAAAAAAGAAAATCAAATCATTTCATTTGTAATGTGCAATGATTAAATGTTTCTTGTAGGATATACTCTGAAGACAGTGATGTGCAAGTTCAAGGTTTGCCTGTTGTGAATATTGTATATGTAAATGTAAGGATAAAATGATAACATATTTGATATGCAAAATTATTATTTAATTACCATCATCCTGATCATGCTGATTGGAATAAACAAATAAAAAAAATATTAAGCATGCCCAGTAACTCCAATATCTACATGTACAGGTATATCAGTGTGTAAAAGAATCCTGTGTAAAGTTATAATTATATAGTTAGAGAGAGAGAGAGAGAGAGATAAAAGGGTCAATATAATTGAAAATCATGCATCAGTGATTTTTGTTTTTGTTTAATTCTCAAAAGATTTAATCACATTCTGTTCTAATTTCAGCAGATACTTTAATAATAAAGAATGGGTGAAAAATTTCTCACATCAGCATGCTGCATATTCCCGGTAGTACATGTAAGTTCAAAGGCAGAAGAAAATTCATTAAAAGAGAATTTATAAATACATGTATAAATTAAAACTGACTCACTTGTCTTCGCGCATTAACTCAGAATCAGAAAACATTGCAGTTGGTTGTCTAAGTCAGCAATCAATTTGATGAACTGAAAATTATGCTGATACATAATCAGCATATTATGAAAACTGTATTGCATTACATATTTTTCTGATTTATATGTAGTGCATTGATATTTGACAGTATTTTTCATTCAGTTTTCTTTCCACATTATTTCAAATGCTTGTATTTTATTTGGATTAATTAAAATAATGTAGAGGATTGTATTAACTTTATATTAGTCATATTTGTAGTTCAGCTATAACAAAACAAATTATCTGATGAAAGCTTCAACCACGAGGAAAGGATGTCAAGTCCAAAGAGAGGTATGTTGATTAGTGGTGATGATATGTTATTGATGTAAATAGATAACAGCAATAAAATAGTGAGAACAATAGAAATCCATAGACAAAATTTAAATCTTAATTCTTTTCAAGAAGAAGCAGGTCATTATTAGTCACTCTGAGATAGTTAAGAGCAGATTTAGATTTGTTCAGATCATATAGCTAAAGGGTATGGTGGGTCCACAGTGGGGGTCAAAGTTTTATTCTGGAATATTTAAGGCTGAAGCCTTTTATTATGAAATCTATTCAAAATTATCAGGGCCACAATACATCATTTTTGAATGCAGAATCCCAGAATCAAGGGTAATGAATATGCCGTAATTAGAAACAAATTGTTTATCTTGAAAGTCCTATGTAAATACTATGTAAATACTGGAAAATCGTTTTGTTTATTTCTTGGCTTTTAAGTTAAGTAGACATTAAAATAATATAATTTTCATAATTTAAATTCCTATTTTATGGATAATTTATTTGATATCTATGTAAGGTCAAAAAAGCTACAATTTTCAGAAAGAAAGCAATATTTTGGGGTTATAGAAAAGAGGCATAACTCTCATCAAGATATTAATGATGGATTTCAGATAAGTGAAAAATGTATACTGTTGGGAAACAAGTCAATATAGTGCAGTCTAAATAAATACAGTTAAACAAGAGTATCTTAAAATAAAAAATCTTTGACTACCTAGGGTATGTTGACGTTCATGACAGTATTACAAATTGGACGAATGATTTGCAAACACTTGGAATTGCATATAATTATATGATTTACTTTTGTTAACTTATTTCCTCTTTTTGCGCATATCTCCTTCTCATGCAGATTCTTAATGAACAATGATTAGATATAATTAGCAACTGTAAATGGCATGCATGTATATGAACTTTGTAAACTCTGTTTTAGAGTTGAAATTTGGTATATATCTTTGATAGTTGACACTGAGTGATATTTTGAACACATTAAGATATCAAAGTCATTTTAAAGTCCCTTGAACGACATTTTTTTTCTATATATCTTACCTTGAATCTCTTGAATATCTCTTTTTTTCAGCAGTCCCATGAGCATTTCAAGATAACAAGTGTGACTTTATTTTTATTGATTCAATTAATTTATGATGAATCATAAAAATATCAATCATATACATGTACTTTTATGTTAATGCATTAACATTTTATATTATATAACTTTGTGAAATGTGGTATTCTGATTGGTCAATAAAAAGTACTTATTTTTTATTAACGACCGCTGAAAGCGAATAATGACTCGCACGAGCTGCCTCGTTTTCACTTTCGCTTTAGACAAACATGGAAGTTCGCAAGTTGTAGGTGAGGAAAATTTAAAAGATATAGTGAAGAACTATGAGGCTGATAATACACAAAAATTACAAGGATATCTGTGAATATTTTTGTGGAATACAGTAATACTTAGAACACATACCATTTCATGGTTGAGTTCGACTTTTCCACTCGGTGATTAGAGATTTGACGGTGTTTACGCGATTACGGAGACTAAAAAATGAAGACAAGCATGCAATGTAAGATTGGATCTTATCTTAGAAGACAGGTATTTATAATTTGTCAATGCATTTCCTCTGCAAGTGAAAACGAGAGTGATTCTCAATCTGGGGGAGGGGGTACTCTGTGTTATTCTGAGATAGATATCTTGCGTTATTATTATGATATGGGTTAAAATTAGTTATCGAAACAATTTTCTCTGAATAATATTCAATGAATTCTGAAACACTTACATTCAACTTATTTATGGTTAATACTATCTCTGTAAACATTAGGAAAATATATACATTGTACTATTAAATTTGGGAAATTATTATTTATATATTATAATAAATATGGACTCAATACACGGTCAATATACATTTATAATGACCCAGGATGTCAGATATTGACCTCAGATACATGATGTATATCGACCTCGGGCTATCGCCCTCGGTCGATATACCACATGTATCTTCGGTCAATATCTGTCATCCTGGGTCATTATAAATGCATATTGACCTATATTGAGTCCATATTTGTATAATATTTTTCAGGCCATATAACAAATGGTTGCTGAATTCATGAAGACTAGCTGGGATGATACAGTGCATTTCTACTCCTATGAACCATATCTTAACATCATTTGAGGAACCCTATCTCAGAAAAAAAGAATTTGCATATTCAAAGACTCCATATAGTTTATTGTTTATTTGCACATTGTTTAACATTCTTCTTGAGAAATTTTCACTCATATGGGGATGCCAACATTTGTCGGTGGAGAGCTGCAAATTTTGTCCTTTACTTGGCACACATGGTTAATTGAGCAATGATGGATCTTTTTGGCAATAACACCTACTGCAACACAGGACCTCTGTAAATACAGTCTCATCCATGTCCAATTCTGGGATTTCGAACCAGCAATTTATGGATCAACTCTCGAGCAGATGCTCTTGCCACTGTGCCATGCAGGTGACTTTATAGGTTATAAAATGATAAGATTTATAACTTAAAACTGATGTTTTTAATTCAATCACAGTATAGAAATTGTTTGCAAAAAAAGGGAGGTAATAGCTACATGTTGTTCTCACTAGTATTGCATGCTTGAACTGTTTGAATTACATATTGTAATTACACAAGTATTTTAAACCAGATCAGTAAAGAAAGAAACACTTGAATATTTTTACTATGAATTTCATTATAAGGTTGATTATCTTTAAAAAATGGAACTTTAATTTTTTTTAGTAGAAAAAAAAAATATTAAGAATGTACATGTGCACTTTATTTTGTTTATTAAAAATAGTCAAAATTTGGAGATCTTGCGAAGGGTATCTAAATATTGATATATAAATTTTTACATCATTTTTAAACAGCATAATCTTTATTATAACATATGAGTGTAATATACAACTTATTGTTGAACATTCCATTGTCTGTCTACATGTAGTGCTTAGTAAATTTCTTGTAAATAAAAACATGATTGCATGCTGTTTGTTTACTTTGAATTTTTATCAGTATGAGTCATGATTTATAAATGGTGTGCATATCAGTTTAAATTATTTTTGTTGAATTCAGTTAACAGAAAAAAATAAAAACTGAATATAATTATGTATATAGATACCTTCCAGAAATATTTATATGTACTAGTAGCTGCAGATCTATATGCAACTTATGTGAAATCAGGTATACTTGAAACTCAATTTACCTGTATTTATTTAACAGAAATTTAGTGAACACATTCATACACCTTTGCAGTATTTTATACTGAAAATACACTGTGTTAATGTTTTACTTATTCAACATAAACTTGACCAGAAGTGATCTTAATGAGATAAAACATATCTCACTACCCCCCCCCCCCCAATTTTTTCCACAATTTAAATGTATATAAATTGAAAAAGAAACTGACTATACCATTAAAGAAAATCTTGAGTTGTCTTTCCTTGTTTAAAGAAAATATCTGATGCAATGAATGCTCTCTGGGGTTCATGACCCTGAATATTAATAAGGTTGGGAGGTGTGTTTATGTTAAATCGGATAAAATAAGTTGAAATTAGCTTCATTCCTTTTAATTTAATTTCTGTGCTGACAATGAGACACTATTTCTTATTGTAAAATAAGTTTTAAACCTCTAACGGACCATTTTGTCAGATGTTAGACTATCCTTGGCGCCAAGGCACCTCGGACCGTCTAGTATCTGACTTTATGGACAGTTTTTGGCTTTTAGTCATTACTAGATAGAACGTTCTATCGTTAAAATGATATCCTACGTACATGGTTTAACGATCGAATTCGTTCCGTGTATTCGTAATGCAGCAAAAGAAACATGGGTGATAACTCGTACTCTCTTTAAATCAGTGCATTTACTACGAAAAATCTACAGAGTTCCAAAAGTAAACATGGCAGGTAAATTTGAAGCGAAAGAAAAACGTTGAGAAAATTAATTGCATTTTCGTCTTTAGATGGATTATTTTCTAGGATAAAAGGCATAAGCAATCTCCAAAAGGTTTGTTTTGATTAATTTGGTACATATTTCCAGTGCAAATCCTTTTCTATTCTTCAAAATCGTTTCGGAGCGGATCCGCTCCGATTTGCTACATTGCAAGAAATGGGGACGTATTCTCACTGTGGTGAGGGCTTGTACCGAGGCACAGTTAGATCATTCTAACTAAGCCATTACATGAAGCATCAATGAAGAAAGGGGAACAAAAATTTTGAATTTCAAGGTCATTGTCCCCTTGGGACCTGATGATGGGGTTAAAGCATCAAAACCATTGGAATATTTTAAAAAATCTCCCTCTTGTTTACAGGACATCAAGCAGTCAAACTGTAAGTCTGTTGGCATGATTGTAATATACTAAATTTCGAAATCCATGGTCAAAGGGTCAGGTACTCTGGTGCTGGGGTGGATATTGTGAATTTCCTTCCCCCTGGGTAACAGATTCTGTGGGTTTCCATTAATTTTACAGTGAAAACGCATTTTTTTTTAAATTGTCTTGTCTTCCTTTGGGCATTCAGCCGATAAACTATGGTTATGATGAACAAAATGATTTCTTCCAGAATTGTGAAATATGTGGCCGCTTGGTAGGTGTCAGGTCATTTCTCTCTAAAAAAATTTCCCTCCCAGGTTATTTCTCTCTCCCACCATTTCACGGTAGGTCATTTCTCTCTCCTACCTGGGTCATTTCACCCCATTTTTAATCTGGTCTTATACAATTATTTACTTTTCTATTCTTGTGTTATTAACTTTTGTCTCGTAAAATAAATTAATTTTATTAATTCATGACCAATAAAATTCAAACGAGAGAATGTATCGGAATTTTATTTACAGTGGAAAATTTAATATTTGATATTAATGAAAATAAATTGATACCATTGTCCAGCCCTTGCTACGTGGAGGCCTCTTCTGTTAAAGGTAATTATTTTGAAAGAAAAATTTAAACTCAATTAAAATAATTTAATTTGTTAAAAGAATTAATTTTTAACATAGCCGATGATGAAGTTTTGTCTTTAATCTGAATATCATATAGATACTGATGAAACTCGAATCTTAGAAAAATAATCCAAAAAAATGTTTATTGATTGATTTTGTTTGGCGATACAAAGAAGTCGGAATAAAAATAACAATTTTGATCTTAGGAGAAATAAGGGAGAAAATAGACATGACATAAAATAATAGCTGCAGAAATGTACCTCTCCGAAAAGATATATATTGACAGACCGGTTCAATACATTTTCTTTTCGGAAAACTACAGTTCTGCAGCTAAAAAATAGATATTTTTTAGAAAACAAAGGATACTTAAAAATATATATTATGAAACCAGATACACAAGTAAAAGTATGTAAATATTTACTAATATTTATTTAGAATAATTGTATAATATAAAACTATAAATAATAAGAACGCGAGGAAAATAATGACGTAAAAATGCTATCAATATGAAAAAACCTAAAATGCAATATTTTCAAGGTATACAAGATTAACAAAGCAGCCAAATCACATGAATTAATGGGAATGTAACAAGGGAAAATTTTTTTCTTAAAAATGAATTATAAGATTTCGAAAAGGAACTTACTCGGTGTGGCAATAGACACCTCCACAACTTCGCTGGAAATGGCTAGTAAATTTTAATATGTTTCAAGTACTAGTATATTGCACTATTAAACGATTCTTACATGTATGAATCTAATGTAAGAAAAATTATTTATACCCAACTCCCTTTTTAATATAATGTTATCTGGTGTCTTTACCACAATATTTTATGAAATAGATAATACATTATCAGGACTGTATAAAATGTTGTTCAGGACTTGTAATTTTGATACATGTACTTTCAGTAGATGTCAAATAATCTACTGTCTCTAAAAGTTTACATATTCTTTGATTCAATTTAAATAAAAATCATCTCATTTTTATACGTATTTTATCCATGGCGTTCAGTTCCCATTGTTATACCAGAGATCATAAATTTTAAGTACAAACAAAAATATTCCAACTACATGTATATACATAAACTTGAACTAGCTTTTTGAAAGGGCAAAGACATATGACTCGATCTCATGTTGACTAAAACGATCTTTCGACTGTTCATTACTTCCGTTTTATTATCAAGGAGACATTCGTGGGTCTTTTACATGTATGCACATACATATTTGCGCATGAGAAAATAATACAGAAAAATGTTTGTAACAATCGGGACATTTTAAATTAAAAATCCATGCATCAGTACATTAATTTTACGTTCTTATAATAAATATGTTAATGTTTGGGGGAGGGGCTGCCACTGTTGCATAGAGAAAACATATGTATTTTGGGGGAAAATGAAATCTTAAAAGTTAAAGGGTAATGGAAATGGGTAGCAATTCTTTTATATGTTTTAGAGTTTGGCGAAATAAAACCAACAAAAAAAAAACCGCATCGAAATCGATGCAAATTTAGCGGAGTTATTGCCCGTTGAAAGCGTCTATTTTTACCTGTTATGAAAATCCAATCAAGCAAAAATAGAATCGATCGAAAACGAGGCTATATCGCCGTGACGTCACTACATTGACAGATTAGGCGGATTAGTATGGATTTCAACGAGATTAGTTCCGACAACAACGACGATATCAGCCTTGATATGTCAGATGGATCTTCAGTTTTTGATGAACAAGATGGAGTGGGTATCGAACTTGGTACAAGACCTTACCAGTTTGAGCCAGAAGCCGATTCTGACGAGGAATTGGTAGATGAAGACGACATACAGCCCAGCGAGGACGAGCGCTTGGGGAATACTGACTGGTTAGAAAATGGCATATTTTCCAATTAGATTGCTTAATGTGACATATGTAGTCCAATATTTAGACTTAATAACCATATAAAGCAACATAAATTGTGTAATTTACTTAGGATATGGCTGAACTATGAACATTTTCTGCTGAAAGGTGATTGCCTTCAAGGCATCGGACTTTTACCTTTTTGTTTGATTACTGGCAAATCTGTTACCAAAAAATCACATTCACTATAGGATCATGATAACCCTCCTATAAATTATGTTGGCTAAAGAACTATATAGGGTTTCTATCATAGTTTGGCCCCCGTTTTTGTTACAATTTAAACGCCAATATACCCCAATGAAATTGATATTTTTTGAAAGATTAGAATTTATACTTTTCTTTTATGGTTAAATTGATATGTTGATTTAAGTAATATGCAGACAATTAAATGCTTAAAGTGACAAAGTTTACAAGAAAACGCTTTAAAGTGGCATTTTTAGCATTGTTATCGGCGATTTCAGGTATGTGCGACGCCTTGAACAAGAAAGATATTTACACACGTAAAAGATATTTTCAAAGAAAGACTTCATTCAAAAAATTTATCTTGTTCATAAAGTCGCACACACTTAAAAAATAAAAAAACCTTGAGAAAAATAGCACTTTCTGACTCGCGTGACGTCACAAGCATCTACGGAGAAAGACGACGACGTTGTTGACATGTGTTGAATTTTTTTTTTATTTCGAAGGTAGCATCATCTATCGATTGCTTCATGTATATTTTCGACATAAAGTTCGAGACATATCTATTTTTGAAACATATTTATGATTAAAGAATATATTTTATCGGGATCGACATTGATCTGTTGATGTGTGAATGTACGGGTGTGGATCACAAGGAAAACGATGATCTAGTTTGATCTTCGAATCGCTTGAACTTCGTCTACTGTACATCAAATCAGTTCACAGAAGAAATATATACACAGTATACATTTTGTAAAATTATTTGATCATGTTAAAATACGTTCAATGTGTGTGCATATTTCCATATCTACTTTATACGTTGTCATTTCTTCCTATATCGTTCATTGTTTACCTGTTTACAAGGCAACAAATATACGGCCAACCAGACGCGTAAAAAATTCAACGTTATTCTAAGAAGTTCGGGGCATTAGTAATTTCAATAAAACCAACTAAAATATTTTTTTTCTATAAATGTTGAGTACAAATACTCAAATAGACAACAAAAATAATATTAATATTTCTATGATTTAATTTTATTGCATAATTAACTTATTTATACTGTCTGTACAAAAAATAAATAAATAAATAAATAGGCCTAAATAAAAATAAATAGTAAAAAAGTTTTGAATCAACATTTTATTTATATATTCAAAAAAAAAAACAAACAAACAAACAAACAAACAGTATAAATGCATCACATTTTTAATTCTAAAAGTTCATTAATTTAATTTCTGAATTTTTAGGGTTAATGTGTTATTATAAAAACTATCATAGTGTGAATCATCAAATTAAATAATAGTAAGAAGGACCCATTATACATGTACACATACATAAGGTCATATACCCTTTCTCTTAACATTTTTTTTACTGATTACTGCAGTAACACTCAACATGATATTGTTTTTTTTTACCTAAACTATTTTTTTTAAATATTACAATAATTATTTCCTTTTTATTTTAATTAACTAGTTAAAACATTGTGATTTCTTTTCCGGACTGTACAAATAGGAAGTTTTAAAATACATATTTTTGAGTGTTGAGAAAGTGGCATGTGTCATTGCTACTTTCGTAGTTTGTAATACAATCAAGGTTCTTACACGTGTAGTTGTATTTCTTCTCGGAAAAATCTCAAAAAGTACACTGTACCAGTTGAAATTAATTTGAAATTGTGAGGCAGAAGACTAGAAAGTTACTGATTACTCGGTATATTTTACTGATTGCACCCTTCTCCCTCTATGATATCAGGACAAGATTCCGATATTTCACCAGGTCTATTGGTGCACCTGTGTGGCTCAGTGGTTAAATCATTTGCCCATGAGTTGCAGAGTATAGCGCAGAATATCCTTAAGTACATGGTTCAAATCTCACATCGGAATCGAGACATAAGATTTCGAATATAAAAAATAAGTTCTCGAAAGGGTAGATAAAAAATTCAAACAAACCTGTTCATTGAATTTGTGTACAGTGTATCTCCTCAATGGCCAGTTACATGAATTCGTATTGTTTTCTTTAACATTTTTATGTTTAATTTTAAAAACCTTATATCATTATGCCTTTCGAATTTTTTAACAATGTATTAGAGGCAGTATTTACACGATCTTCCCTTTCTGATACTAGAATTTTTGTACATGTTAATAGGAAAAGGCCATCGATTTCAATGGAGAAAAAATTAAAAATGATTGATAGATTGTTTTCAATGTCCCTATTGAGAATTTTTCTTTATATTGAGATACCACCACTTGCAGATGAAGGGCAACAGATTCTAACCTATACTCGGCACTTAGGGCAATTGACCAGCGAGAGATCTTTTTCGTGCCATCTCCTACTACACACGGGACCTCAGTTTAAACGAAGGACCGGCCTCCACGTCCCTTGGTGGGATTCTATCCCTCGACGTAAGGATTGACTCCTTACTTCGCGGCGACTCTAGAGAAAGATGTTTTATCTACTGCGTCACGCGGGCGACACTTTGGCTATAGAATCATAAATTAAAAATTCATAAATATAAAAAATATAAGTCAATATGTCGTTTCACTACTTATTTCTGCATTTCAAATATGATCACGCGATGCAAAATTTTAATGTCCATATTGCAAATTTATGCTGAATGATACAGATTTTTTTTTTTTTTTTTTTTTTTAAATAAATTCCTCCGTAAAATGATAATTGATAAGATCCAATTAATACTTAGCATTTTTCATATTTTCATCTGCCAGTGATTTGAATTTTATAAATGATTATGGTATAACAATTTTTGACAAGACTTTGAATTAGAGATTTAATCAAATCATAAATCATATGTACGGTGGTATATTTAGGACACGCAATTATTTTTTTTTTAAATACCAGAAAAAAATTATCTTGTGAGAACGACTTATTATCTTGTGAAAACGAGATATTATCTTGTGAAAACGAGATATTATCTTGTAAAAACGACTTATTATCTTGTGAAAACGAGATAATATCTTGTGAAAACGAGATATTATCTTGTGAAAACGAGATAATATCTTGTGAAAACGAGAAAATATCTTGTGAAAACGACTTATTATCTTGTGAAAACGAGATAATAACTTGTGAAAACGAGATATTATCTTGTGAAAACGACATATTATCATGTGAAAACGAGATAATATCTTGTGAAAACGAGAATTTATCTTGTGAAAACGAGAATTTATCTTGTGAAAACGAGATATTATCTTGTGAAAACGACATATCTTGTGAAAACGACTTATTATATTATGTCGTTTTCACAAGATATTATCTCGTTTTCACAAGATATTATCTCGTTTTCACAAGATATTATCTCGTTTTCACAAGATAATATCTCGTTTTCACAAGATATTATCTCGTTTTCACAAGATAATATCTCGTTTTCACAAGATATTATCTCGTTTTCACAAGATAATATCTCGTTTTCACAAGATATTATCTCGTTTTCACAAGACAATAAGTCGTTTTCACAAGATATTTTCTCGTTTTCACAAGATAATATCTCGTTTTCACAAGATAATATCTCGTTTTCACAAGATAATTATGTCGTTTTCACAAGATAATTTTTTTCTGGTATTAAAAAAAAATAATTGCGTGTCTTAAATATACAACCGTACATATGTATACATGTACTAGAATATAAACTTCTAATTTTTCTAAGTTACAAAGTTATTATCGGAAAGGACTGCATTAACGGACAGACTTATTGTAAGAGAGACAAGTTGATTCCTGTCAACAACCACGTCCCTCAATACCAAGTTTTTGTTAAAATGTTAAATATTTATGCGACCGAATTTATTTGGGGCGTATATTGTTTTTGTCCTGTCTGTATGTTTGTCTGTTTATCTGTTTGACTGTCTGTTGTCAACTTTAACCTTTGCATTAACTTTTGAACCGTTCGAGATAGAAACTTCATATATGGAATGCATACTCCACTAACTAAACTCTTTCAACTGACACTAAGGTCAATGACCTTGTGACCTTGACTGTGACCTATATGCTAAAAATAGTTTTTTTCGAACTTTTGCTCCAACTTTTGAACCATAGGAGATAGACTTTATATTTGGTATGCATACTTCACTAGACTTTATATTTGGTATGCATACTTCACAAGTTAAGTGCTTTCAAATGACACCAAGGTCAAAGACCTTGTGACCTTGACTGTAACCTATATGCTGTAATAGCTTTTTCGAACTTTGTTGCCGCCGGGCGAATAGAGTTTAACAATCATATCTTGTTTTCTTTATTCCTCAAAATATAAAGTTTAACAAAAAGAAAAAAAAATCGGAAAAAATTGTATTAAAAAAATGAACGACTGCTTTTGTTTGGTAAACAACAACAAAAACTTATCTAAGGGAATAAGTTTGTACAAAATGGTTGCTATGGCAACGGACTTGCCTATCAATTTGATATAATTCTAAGTACAAAATCATCTTAGGGTATCCAAAATATAAATATTTATGGAACATTTTATAGATGCTACCAAAATTACAGATCTCTTAATTGTCAATAAAGCCATAATTTCAGATATAATGGAATAAGTTTGAATACAGTTTCCATGGTAACGGAATACCTATTAAATTAAAAATATAATTTTTTTAGTAAAATAGTCACTTTGACATATCCTAAAGTATACATACTATCATTAACTTAAGACAATATAGTTGGTATCTAAATGACAATAGATGGCATTAGATGCCAGATTTAGAGGTCTGAAGGTGTATGATTTTGACGACGGTTTCCATGGCAACGGAACGCCTGATCAAATTAAATTATATATTTTTAGTAACATCCTTGCCTTATCCCTCTCCATAGTAAAGATAAACATTTTCTGAGTGGGGGCCTTAAATGGCCCTTACCCTATATACTTCTTTTAGCTAAATGTTTCGTTATTATTTTTAGACTTTTTAATATTGGACCTATGTATAATATTGTTTGAACACACTGTGCCTATACTGTGGTTTCCCTTGTTACATTACAAAACCAGTATCAACCATTTTTAAGCCGTTTTGAAAATAGCATGAAGTAAGGCTAAAAGAAAATATAATCTTGTTTCCTGTACCCTGACCAAATAAATTAGAGTATGTAGGTAGGGAAAAAAAATTATATTTGAGAAAAAAATTTATTTTCAAAACTCAATGAATGCAGAACATATAGTATGTAATAACAAGAAAATGATATTTTTTACAGACCAAAGTTTGTTAATAAAGATTTATAAAGTAAAGGTATCCTGTACACTTATGATGTATTAGTTATGTAAATATTGTTGGTCAACTTTAGTATTTTAGGAAAATAGTAACCCAAAAAATGTAAATGTAAAAAAAACTTTTAGGGTCGGAGGGTAAAATGTAGGGTAGGTCGGGTGACAGGAAACAAGAGTATTTTTTGTTTTGGCCTAACTAGAAATATTCTGCATTTAGTTTCTAACAAATACAATTTTTGGTTTATGAGTTGGTTGCTTGGGAACGAAATTTCAGTACAGAAAACTGCACTCCACAGTAAATGGGGCTTGCGGAGGGAGATGTACTTGTGTTATGACTTATTCATCATCTGAAAACAGAAATATCACAGATTTTTTCTATTAAACTTTTAATTCCTATACTGAATTAAAATAGCTTTCATTTGTCAACAGGTGCACTTGCGAGCAGTGTGTTGCGATGCCTAATGCAGAAGAGTGTGTATGCTGCCAGGAGATACCAGAAATCAGATGCGTGACAGAAGAAGACCATCGACACTGCATTACACAGCACAATGGGTTCTCCCCAGTATGTCTTCACCCTTCTGTTTTGAGGACGGCATACCATTCGTATAGACAGCAGTATGCAGAACTTCCGGAAACTAATGGGTAATAATTCTGATTCAATTCAATGAAATAAATGTTAAAATGAAATCAGAATCAGTTTATTTCGCTCAAACCATACAATATGGTACATGAGGAACATAGACTATAAACTTGAAATGAAACATAAATAAGACTAATTGGCTGTTCATTGTTTATTGAACATAGAGACAAAATTGCACAGTGAACTTATCAAATTGTTTGATAATTCACAATGTCTCAAATTTATACAAACAGAAAATAAAACCAAAAATATTAACAAACTCAACAAAATGAAAACATTAACACAACAATAGGAAAAAAAGGTCAAACTTGAACAATTTTATCACTACAATTATATTGTAAACAACAAAAAAAAAAACAAAACAATGAAAACTGAATAGTTAAAGTGTCAATGATAAAAAGGCTAACAAAAAATAATAACTCATCAAATATGCAAGAATACAGGATAACAATAAAAAAAAAATGTATATTTTAAAATATAGAATAGAAAACAAAACAAACAATTTTCTTTAACAAAATCAGTGTACGTATACAACACAGAGAGAGCTAACAACAAAATATCTATGTAAATATTTATTAATATATAAAAACAGTAACAAGTATTCATAACAAGTACAAATTATCTTTATGTTGTAGGCGCATGAGATATATCGGATATCGGCAGCTGGTTCGATGGTGCTGGGGATGGCTTGGAAAGGAAGTGAGGGTACCTCTCCCAGCTTGTGCAGTCCATAAGATCCGCACCACTTATCCTGAGGAAGATGGACACTATACCGGGTTTAGTTGCGCCGGAAGCGAGTGACGTGATGATCGATGGCCTCATCTTTCTCCGGATGAAGGAAATCCGCACACAGTGGAGGTGGATCATCTGGCATTTCGTCAGGCTCACAGCGTGGCATTGGAGTGTCCCTGACTCGGGAAGTAGCCTCAACCATGAGTGACTCAACGTATCCTGTAATAAGAGCATAAAATGACTCGATGAACTACATGTATATCTTTCTAGCTATTATTGAAATGTGCTTTAAGTATATGAATTTACAAGTAAACTGATTAAACTTACCATATGTGTTATTTGTTTTGATTTTCTTCACTGTGTAGTCGCCCTTCTTTTGTTTTGGGAAAGTGATGCTGTACCTGGGTTTACCATCCTTTGTAGTAGCCTGCAGATTCTGTCCATTTTCATTGAAATGCATTGCAGCAATGAGCAATCTACAAGAAACAAGTAAATATTCAGCAATGCATATTTTGTTTACAAAGTATGAAAAAAAAAAGTTCCTAAGAATTACCTATCCCATTCACACTTTACCCGCAATCATTATCAAAATATGGCACAAATGATAGCAAAAAAACAAAACACAAACTATCATTGAGAATAACAATACACTTCACAGTAGAAACTGAAACCAAGACAACTACGGTAGTTTCATTAGTCCAACAACATAGAGAGATAGCTGTTCAATAAAAATACATGTGTATCATCAAATTTTTCCGTACCGACTCTGCATCCCATGATAGGAAAACTTGTTCATCTTTGGGGCATAATGGTTAATCACCGAATGGTAGGCCTCTAGACTGGATGTCTGAACATCAGGTGAAAGCATTGGAATATCTTTCTTCATCTGCCTTGAGGTGATGATGGCTTCCAGCTTCTCCACTACTTTGGTACCTATGAAAGGAGAAAAATACACTCTTAACAAAATTCAATCTAAATAAATATAATCAAAGATAATGGATTTAAATACAATTCTTCAACAAATTCATCAACAATACTGCAATAAGGTTCTAAAGGAATTGAAAAATCTTTACCAGGTCTCAGCCATCTTTTCCGTCGTGCAGCTTCGTCTAATTCTGCATGTTCGCATCTCTCAAAGAGATCACCATGTCCCTCGTGGATGTTCTGGATGTGGTTGAAGACGCTGACCCATTTCTCCCACCTCAATTCATTGCTGCCTTCTGGTGTGGAAGTGGGGACCCAGTACAGGTGGTTGACAATGCTCTTGATCCACTCCATCAACCTCTCACAGTCTTTTTCCTTGCCGAGGGCTGTCAGCTTCTTCTTCAGACCTTAAATGTACATAGAAGTTTACAAAATCTGACAATTATGTACATAGAATTTTACAAAATCTGACAATTATGTACATAGAAGTTTACAAAATCTGACACTTGTCCTTCCTTTTTGAGACAATTTTAATACAAATGATAGAGTTTTATAATAAATTAGCGTCTTCCTTTACTTTATAAAATTTTAGCATTCAACTTAATTGTAAAAACAAGAAAGCAATGTCACAAACCTTTTGCAACATGCCAAACATCCACATAGTGTGTAGTGTCTGGCATATTCTCCCGAACCCATTTCGCCACCTGAAGATGTCGGTCTGTTATGAGCTGGCAGACTTCAATGTTGTTCTGTTGTAGGAATTGGACAACTCTTATCAGCCCTTCCTTCTCCATACGACAGCTTCCCCCGACCTCATTGCTCTAATAAGTAAAAAAAGTTACATTAGTTTACCTTAAAAGGTCAAATACTATTGAACATGATTTTTTTTTAATTATTTTTTTTTAAACTTATCACTTAGATAAGAATTATTGCATTTCTGTAAACAGTTATTTTTAGAATAAGTGGTTTCATGTATCATATGGTAAATACCTGTACAAGTTGGACATCAATGACGATGTTTTTGTCCAAATCCATGGCCGTGTAGCTGCCAAACTTGGCACAGTGACCTGGAGTGTCGGCCCTCCCATCTCCGCCCAAACGAACTGGCTGACCAGAGTCCTGAATCTGCTGTACATACTGGTTCTGGTGGTTCTTCCAAACACTAAGAATGGTGGGATGTAAGTAATGCTGTTGGTGATTCATGAAGGTCCTCACTGAGATTGTAGCAATGTCCATAAATTGCAACATCCGAATGGACTTTGTCGGCAAGGACCCAGAAAACAAAATGGCACATGACAGTTCAAAATTCCCAGCTGGGATGGCACCAATAAGGGGCTGGCTTGACCAAATTCTGCTGAAACGACAGCATCCACACTCTTGACGAACAGAAATGAAGGTTCCCTTTGAGTGAACGATGTCTGCCAAGGATGGGCTGGCACATCTTGGGCATGTTGCAAAGAGATCCATGAGTTGACTATGGTACACTATAAACTTCATTCCTCTCCTATCCCTGAAAATGCAGAGAGGTCAAAATTATGCTGTCACAATAGTACTCTCAATCATGACTACTACATTACATAGAAATAAATGAAAATGGGACTTAAATTATAACTTTGTGAAATATAAGTGGATTTGTTCTCATTTTTTTCAGTACATCATGTCATCAAGTTATTGATTATTACTTGAAATAATATCTATAATATAATTACCCTCTGTCGGCTTCCAGCAGATCTTCTGAGTCAATGCTACTGAATGAGTCGTCGTGAACTGATTCGTCCTCCTCATCTGAACCGTCATCTGTACCAATAGAAGAGAACGTTGTGTCTGCACACTCTTCACGTAGTACAGGTGTCTCTGGTTCTCCCAGTCGTCTTAGGGGAGGAGCTGGCAGAAGTTCACAGGCAATTCCAACATCCCTGGTCTTCACAGGATTACCTGCCTGCACCACTGAAAATAATAATTTCAATATGCACATTATTGTTTTAAAACACATTATAGCCTACATTAAAGCATAAAAAATAACTTGGGTTTTTTGAAACTACAAATTCTTAAAAAAAAAAAAAAAAAACAGGTGGGACTGAAACAAACTTAGCTGATTCAATTCTCACAATACTGTTTAACTTAAGCTTTACTCGACAAATATTCCTTAGATATTAATCTTTATTTATTCAACATCGAGTCCCCTTGCATGAAAACTGATATTTATAAATTAAAATACCTTTGTCGCTGGTCTTCCATTTGGTTTGGGTGTAGTGGGACTTTCTCATTGGCTTAGTCAAGGAACGTTGGCACCCTACAGTCCTTGTCTCTTTTGCAACCATCTCTACGACATTGGTACATCTCTGTAAATATCAGACATAAAATTTTAATATACATAATGACCATCACAGCATGAAGAATATGCAGGAAACATTAATTTTTTTCAAAACATTTCTTTTTTTTTCCCCATATGATTTTTTTTTCTTTTCTGTCAAATAAATACTTCTGACTGGGAACTATTTGTGGCTCATAATGAACAAATCTGCCCAAAATCTAGGTATGTAATATAGGACCAATGATAAGTATCCTTTAATTCTCCTAAAAGCTTCATAAAATTAAATTCAATTTGCTGTCAGCTTCACAACAATGAAAATATTTTAAGCATATAAGGTTGTGTACAAATTTTACCTCTTCATCTAATTCAATGGTTGGTGTGTTAATGGATCTCTGCTGCTCTGGTGTATTGTCAGACCCCGGCTGCTTTGGTATATCGTCAGACCTCTGCTGCTCTGGTGTATTGTCAGACCCCGGCTGCTTTGGTATATCGTCAGACCTCTGCTGCTCTGGTGCATCACCCGACCCCTGCTGCCGTGTATCGTCAGACCTCTGCTGCTCTGTCTGTGTGCCTTCAACCCCCTGGGGATTACATCCGTCACGGCCAGCTTCAGTTAGGGTGTCGGACTTGGACTCTCTCCTTGCCTGCTCAAACTCTAATACTATCTACAATTCAATTTTAAAACTGATATTCACAAATCCTTTAAAATAAATGTTTTGGTCATAAATTTACTTTAAAAAAAAGGAGTGATAAACTGCTAAAATAACGGTTAGCCATTAATTGTTTCATATATTTCAACTTAAGTAGTTTTTTAACCTTCATGTTATACTTATACATGTACATGGATTGTTTTCGGTAGGTAATGGGATAGTGACTGGCAAGTGGCAACCTAAGGCTAGTAACTTTGTTACTTCCACTACCCCGACGGGCTAGTATCTTACATTTGTAATTGCGCACCCCTGAAGTGTGTGTTAATCTGGTTAAACAAATACATCAGATGCATAGAATTTTGAATGTACACATAATTTAACTGTGCTATTTGATATTGTGATGCCTGACAGGACAAAATAGCTGCACGAGTATTGAGATGATGAAGATTACCATGATTACAGCACTTATATTTATATGTAAATAAAAATATTTTAATAATAGAAAAATAAATGATTGAATTAACTTACTCTTTTGGATTCCCTTCTGAGATAAGCCCTCCTAGGCTTCTTCGGGGTGCTAGTAAGAGGTGTCGTAGGATGGGCTTTCCGTTTCCCAAGTGCCAATGCCGGTGTGGTGGAAGGGCCCACTTTCGTCTGCAGTGTAGGAATGGCATCCTTATTGAGGTCCTTTCTGGGCACTGTCACTCCCACCGACTCCATAATCTTGTACTTGGCAGGGTACGCATCCTCAGTGAAGTGGACGGAGCACAACGTGGACGTCTTCGAGGGACCCTTCCAATCTCGTCTGTACTGTTGTACAAACTGTATCCATCTTCGCAAAACGGCAGGTCTGTCAAAGGGAAAGTAATGTAGGCTAATTCCCTCCATCTTTGTGTTGCTGCAGCCGCCCGCGACACATCGTCTTCCTCTGGAATCTGCTCTGGGGACGGGGGTCTCCGACATCCTCAGTTCACACAAAAATTTCACAAAAATCAAATGGAAAAAATTCTAAAAACTAATTTTAAACAAACTAAACACTACATACTACGATCGCTGTACAACAAAAGTTCACAAAAGTCACTAGAAATATAAATAAAGCTCTAAAAACGTCCTCGAAAATTCACTCTCTCCTTTGTTTTCAAAATGGTCGGTCCATGTAGTGACGTCACACTAGTGCATTGTGGGTGCCAAGGACCAAAACCGCGCGATTCACAAAGTCGCTCAGGTGTGAATTTGGGTTTTCCCCAAATAACTCCGTTAAACTTGCATCGATTTCGATTTGCGGTTTTTTTGTTGGTTTTATTTCGCCAAACTCTAAAACATATAAAAGAATTGCTACCCATTTCCATTACCCTTTAAAATTTACTTGATTGTGAAGATGCATACATTTAGGTTAAGTCATCTTGCCTAAAAATTGTGATCGCTAGGAAGTATTACCGTACATGTAATTAAGTTTGTTTTCAATGTAATAAAAAGTGGGAACAAATTCTCATTTATATAATAATCCGACTAAACACATCTTTGTACAAGTTGACATTTTTTTGTCTAAAGACTAAAGGAGGTATTGTGTTGTCAATCTGTAAATCGACAATTTAGGGATAAACATATGCACCCAGCATGATGATAAAAAAACACCTTGTAGGGTACCATAAAACCACAAGACAGCAATTACGAATTCTAAAAATTATTTATTTATTCCTGATAAAGACCATAAACGACAGATGACAGGACAATAAACAAATTCACTGTAGGTCTAATTGATAATGAATTTAATTGTTAAAGAAAGAAGATAAAAAAATATTTCTATTATGGCATTTAAAGTTATTCTATATTCCATTATAGCTGCAGAACTGTAGCTCTCCCTTTTTTTTGGTTGACAGACCGCACTGTCAATGCATATTTTTCAGAGAGCTACAGTTCTGCAGCTAATTCCATTAGAAAGAAAGACAGTAAATCGTAGCTATAGAATTAATGAATAAAAATAAATAATCATGTGCCTCTGTCCTTGTGAAAGCTAGTTCAACATTGTATAAATTGATACAAAAAATTAATAAATAAAGGAATGAATTAAATTTAAAAAGAATTCTAAAAAAAAATTATTTAAATAAATGAGTGAATGCATAAATGTTTTAATTATGAAGAAAATAAACAATAAATGTGTGAAGTCATATAAATAAATAAAAAATAAATGTGTGAATAAATAAATAAATAAGATGAAACAAAATAAATAAAGTAAGCGTTAAATTCAGCGTGGTAATTAACAAAACTTAATAAAATTAAACTTGTTTCACTTTAATTTTTGTGTTGGAGTGAAATGACCTAGGTTGTGGAGAGAAATGACCTGGGTAATGGAGGGAAATGACACAGGCGAGAAATGACCTGGGCGGAAATGACCTAGGCGGAGCAGGTACTGGGGAGAAATGACCCGGATTCCGCTTGGTATGGGTTTAGTGGGGGGGGGGGGGGGGGGCTTATATTTTTTTTTATATTTGAAATATTCTTTATTGCTCCGTGATATTGGGGAAAGGGATTTATCTATTACAGAGTGGAAATGCTTTATTTCTGTAATAATCTTCTGTCCTGCTTCTACGTATTAAACGTGCAAACTAAGTGTATATTGATAAGCAAGGGTGCCTTTTTATCTCCCAAATTCTGAATTTGATGGCCTCTGGTTTCAATCTTGTTCAATTGTTGGAAAGTTGTTATATGATACTCAGGTGAACTTTAAGGCCTATGGGTGCAATTCATATAAGGCTAATTTGAAATTAATCACATTTATTACACCTCTATTGATAATACTCCAATTTGATTGGCTGGTAAAAAAAAACTTTAAAACACAACAATGACTCCAAATGGTACTGTTTACAGCAATACTGACCTAGCAATCTGCACGTGGGATATAATGACCCGGTCATTATTTTTAATGACCGCTTAATCAAAAAAATGTTTTTGAGTGAAGTTAATGCATAAAATAATAATTATTCGCAAAATTAACATGTTTTTAAAATTGCGCTTTGTCTGTTTTGCATTACCATTCAGAATACAGTAAAATTTTATCGTTACAATATACCGTTACAATTCAGTTCAATAAAAATGTAGAGGCGGCTCTTCGAGTTAAATTCTGTGTTAGATTTTGACTATGTAGAGGAAAAGTAATCGATAGTTATAACAATATATGTCGCTATCAACCAAATTTGTTTTTATTCAGTAAATCATGATGCAAACACTTACACATGGAACTTGCAGACGTCAATGTAAACAAATTCACTATCCGGTCTGTAGCGAATCCCGATCCCGATGAAAGAAAGCATTGATAACGATAAAAGGTTCATAATTTTAATACATATCGGTATAATAAAACAATCAATTACCCCTTGCGAGGTTAACATGGTGAAATAAGGACCCTCAACCTGGCCCACTCGATGACCTGCCCTGACCGAGGCCGCGTAGCGGCCGAGGTCAGGACAGGTCACCTCGTTGGAAAGGTCTCGGGTCCTTATTTCCCCATGTTGACCTCAAAAGGGGTAATTAATTGTTTAATATTTTATAGACCAAGCAAGAAAGCAACATTTGGACAAAACTTAACAATTAAATCAGAAGCATCAAACGCACAGCTATACAGGCAGTGAAATCCTGTGATAAATATAATAAAATTGGTAAGTCTTCTTTTAAAATATCTTTAATGAAATATTTATTTTGAATTTTTATGCCCCGTAATCGGACATTTAGAGACAATAAGTTTTTATTCTGTCCATCTGTCTATCTGTTTGTCTGTCAACACTTAAACATAAGCCACAAATTTTGAAAGGTTTGGGCTAGGGTTTTCAAATGTCACATGTATATTTCTTATGAACAATCCTTTTTTTGGGGTATACAAACATTTTTCAGCAGCAAATTTGGATATACCACATTTTTTGTTATATATGTGTCATAATGTATATATATCAAGAAAATTATGTTGATTATAAATTGGTTAAATCACGTTTTTTTCACGAGGTAGGATGGGATAATAATAAGGAATCAGAGAGAATATCATTTAACAGTCAACCGAGTTTAATCGGTTCGTCCGTCGTCGTGCAACGTCCGTTGTGCTTAATATTAAAATAATTTCAGCTTTTTCCTATGAACCACTAAACCAATTTCTACCAAATTTGGCATATAGCATTCATGGATGAAGAGGAAAGATACTGTGAAATTCATTGTCAGTCATACTATTAGCATGATTGCACAAAGCGTTTAATCCACCACAAAAATTGTTAAATCCATGGCCCCAGGATCAGCGGTTCTGAGTCTAAGGTGGGGCTTTTTGAATATATAGTGAAAATGTAAAAATAATTCACCCCTGCTCCTGCAAAATATACATAGCTTTTATGAACAAGGGTGCTTCTTCCAAAATGTGAATTTTAAGGTCCCTGGGTAAGGGTTCTGATATTTGAGCGGGGCTTTCTAAATTATGTTGTAAAATGCCTAAAGTCTCTAAAGATTATGTCCTTTGCTCTTGGGTATTAAGTCGCTAAACTAAACTCATAGTTATGAGAAATAAGGATGCTTCTTTCTAAAATAGGAATTTAATGGCCCCTAGTTCAGTGGTTCATGGGGTGTTGGCGAGATCTCGGCCCCTACGCGGCCTCGGTCAGTACAGGTCACCTCGTGGGCAAGGTCTCGGGTCCTTATTTCACCATGTTGACCTCACAAGGGGTAATTAATTGTTTATTATTTTATAGACGAAGCAAGGAAGCAACATTTGGACAAAACTTAACAAATAAAATCAGAAGCATAAAACGCACAACTATACAGGCAGTGAAATCCTGTGATAAATATAATGAAATTGGTAAGTCTTCTTTTAAAATATCTTTAATAAAATATTTATTTTGAATTTTTATGCCCCGTAAGCGGACATTTAGAGACAATAAGTTTTTATTCTGTCCATCTGTCTATCTGTTTGTCTGTCAACACTTAAACATAAGCCACAAATTTTGAAAGGTTTGGGCTAGGGTTTTCAAATGTCACATGTATATTTCTTATGAACAATCCTTTTTTTTTGGGTATACAAACATTTTTCAGCAGCAAACTTGGATATACCACATTTTTTGTTATATATGTGTCATAATGTATATATATCAAGAAAATTATGTTGATTATAAATTGGTTAAATCACGTTTTTTTCACGAGGTAGGATGGGATAATAATAAGGAATCAGAGAGAATATCATTGAACAGTCAACCGAGTTTAATCGGTTCGTCCGTCGTCGTGCAACGTCCGTTGTGCTTAATATTAAAATAATTTCAGCTTTTTCCTATGAACCACTAAACCAATTTCTACCAAATTTGGCATATAGCATTCATGGATGAAGAGGAAAGATACTGTGAAATTCATTGTCAGACATACTATTAGCATGATTGCACAAAGCGTTTAATCCACCACAAAAATTGTTAAATCCATGGCCCCAGGATCAGCGGTTCTGAGTCTAAGGTGGGGCTTTTTGAATATATAGTGAAAATGTATTATTTATTTTATAAAAATAATTCACCCCTGCTCCTGCAAAATATACATAGCTTTTATGAACAAGGGTGCTTCTTCCAAAATGTGAATTTTAAGGTCCCTGGGTAAGGGTTCTGATATTTGAGCGGGGCTTATTATGTTGTAAAATGCCTAAAGTCTCTAAAGATCATCTCCCCTGCTCTTGGGTATTAAGTCACTAAGTCACTAAACTAAATTCATAGTTATGAGAAATAAGGATGCTTCTTTTTAAAATAGGAATTTAATGGCCCCTAGTTCAGTGGTTCATGGGGTGTTGGCGAGATCTGATATAAATTATGAAAATTGATTTATTGTATATTGTTTAACGTCCCTCTTGGGAATTTTTGGAGACGTCACCGTATGCGTGTGAATTTAAACCCATACTCGGCACTCAGGGCCATTGAGCAGTGAGGGTTCTTTATCGTGCCAGTGCCTACCGTGACACACGTTTTAAATGGATTGTTTACTGTTTAACGTCCCTCTCCAGAATATTTCACTGATATGGAGACGTTACCATTGCCGGTGAAGGGCTGCAAATTTAGGCCTATGCTCGGCACTCAGGGCCTTTTAGCAGGGAGGGATCTTTATCGTGCCACACCTGCTGTGACGCGGGGCCTCGGTTTATACGGTCTCATCCGAAGGACCACCCCATCTAGTCGCCTTTTACGACAAGCAAGGGGGTACTGAGGACCTATTCTAACCCGTATCCCCACGGGTCCATACGTTTTTAAATGTCATATCCGAAAGACCCGTGACGTTTTAAAATGTCATATCCGAAAGACCCGTAACTT